AATATTGGGCAAATCCAGGCCACCCATCGACCCTGGCAGTTGTAACACAGAGAATTTCAGCCTTGGTTTGCGCTTACTCCAGATAAAAGAACTGAGCCAGCTGTTCAGATCTTTTAAAATCTTTTTAGAGAATAGGATAGGGATCATTTGAATAGGATATAAAAGCTTAGGGAGGATAGTCATTTTTATAAGAGCCAATCTACCCAACCAGGAGATAGGTAACGTATCCCATCGATTCAAATCTTCTCTTATTTTACTGAACAAGGGGGCAAAGTTGTCTTTGTATAAATTTTTGAAGACGGGGCTTACAAAGATACCCAAGTATATAAATCCTCCAGGTGACCACTTAAATGGAAAATAATTAACCTTAGGCCACGTCTTCATGGTACCAACAGGCATGGCCTCCGATTTATTTAGATTAATTTTATATCCCGAGAAAGTACTGAAATTATTAATAACATCCAGAAGAGATGGTACTGAAGATGCAGGATTTGAAATGAAAATGAGCACATCATCTGCATAAAGGGCTATTTTATGATGCTTATCATTAGTTTGCAAGCCTTCAATTGAAGGGACTGTTCTGATCATCTCGGCAAGGGGTTCAATAGCGAGCGCAAAAAGCAGGGGTGACAATGGGCACCCCTGCCTAGTCCCTCTATGTAAAGAGAAGCTAGTTGATCTGGAGCTATTTGTAAGAACAGACGCTTTAGGCTCTTCGTATAACACTCTAACCCATCTGATAAAGGAATCACCAAAATTAAACTTCTCCAAAACAAAGAATAAATATGACCATTCAATACGGTCGAATGCTTTCTCCGCATCAAGAGACAGCACTAGCCCATCAATCTTACGTTGTTGAAAAGTTTGTATAATATTAAGAAGACGTCTCATATTGTTACAAGATGAACGACCTCTTATGAAACCAACTTGATCGTCTCTAATAACATCAGCTACTATACCTTCTCCAAACGAGAAGCTAGAATTTTGGCTAGTAATTTCCTATCGGTATTTAATAGCGATATGGGTCTATATGAAGAGCAGACTTCAGGAGGTTTATCTTTTTTTAAAATAAGAGAAATATTAGCTTCTCTCAGAGATTCCGGAAGCATCCCATTATTAAATGAATAATTAAACATATTGAGCATGGGTTCAAGTAACAAATAGTGCCAATCCTTATAAAATTCACAGCCTATACCATCGGGACCTGGCACTTTTCCACTTTGCATCTTCGCAATAGCCTCTAGTAACTCTTCCTTAGAGATAGGCGCATTTAAGTTCACTTTCTGCTCTTCTGAAATAGTTGGTAAACTGATTCTGGAGAAAAAGGCTTCTAACAGGGTATTATCACTGCTGGATACTTCGGAGTTGTATAGGTTCATATAGTAATTTCTAAATGTGCTGTTAATTGATCTACAATCATAAAGTAAATGATCATTTTCATCTAAAATTGACACAATAGAACGTGAATCACTTTTCTTTTTAGTAAGATAGGCCAGAAGTCTACCTGGCTTATCTCCATGCTCATAGAATTTCTGTTTCACAAACCTCATTTTATATTCAGCATCTTGAGTAAGCAGCGAATCTACAGCACACCTCAGTGCAGATATCTCTCCAAGTAAAGTCTTGTCCGCAGTCTTAATATAATGTACTTCTTTTTCCTTCAAGGCCTTTTCTAATTGTCTTTGGGTCTCGTTTTTTTTACGTTTCTTAGATGCAGAAAAGGACATAATTAACCCCCTTATATAAGCTTTACTAGTCTCCCATAAAAGCGAGGAATCTTTAGTAGTTTGAGCATTAATGTTATAGAATGCTGTAAATTCCGTAGAAAAGAAAGGCTTAAATAGTTTATCTTTAAGTATATTAGTGTTTAGTCTCCATTGCCGGAAATTATCCCTACAAGACGTTTTCAACTCAAGAATAACCATAGCATGATCTGAAATAACAATATTGTTGATACAACATGAGATTGCAAGGTGTAATGAACTTCTGGGCATAAAAAAATAATCGATCCTAGTATAACATTGATGTGGAGGGGAAAAGAAACTGTATTCCCTACCAGATGGGTGCAGAGCTCTCCAAACATCTATAAGTTCTAAGTCCTCACAAATACCATTAATTTGCTTCGCTAGCTTAGATGGAATTGCTATTTTATGGGGAAATCGATCAATGAGAGGATTTAACAAACAATTGAAATCACCTGCAGCAATCATATAATCCGATCTCAAATCATTGAAGTCTGCAAATGCCTTAATAAGGAAATCAGAAGGGTGCCCTGGAGGAAAATATACATTAAACAAGGAAATAGAACTACCAAATAAGGTGCCCTTTATAATAACAAAACGGCCTCTGACATCATCTATCAGTTTGATAACATTCAGTGGGACATCTTTACTTATCATGACAGCCACCCCTCTACTTTTTGATGAAAATGATGAGAAGTATACTTGATTATATCCTCCCTGTTTTAGTTTTAAATGTTCCTGTTTGTCTAAATGTGTTTCTTGCAAAAAAGCCACACCAATCTTATTTTTCCTCATATATGACACAATCTTCTTCCTTTTTATAGGGTTGTGAATTCCCTTAACATTCCAAGTACAAATACGAAGTGTATTATCCATTGTCCTTAACTTCAAGTGGGAAACCGCTGTACCTAAGCATATTTAAGTGGCATTTGAAGTGGCCTAAAACAAAACTATGCAGAGAAAAACAAAAACAAAAAATCTTTTCTAAAACTATAGTACAAATTAAACAAACAAAGCAAAACATAAAAAATGGGGGAATCACCCTTCCAAGCATCTCACCAGGGTTTCCAAACCAACCTAATAGTGAAGATAAGCACACACTTGTTTCAACACACCATTCTTCATCTTCACCAAAAATCAGCGCGGCATGAATTGAACGAATGCAGAACTGCGCAGCAAGTCTCTTTTGGTGGGAATGCAACACACAGGGATTCTAACTCAGAGTCCGAGCAAAAGTTCGCAGGGAAATAACATCGCATCAAAGAGTATAGAAGTGCCTTGATGTACTCTTTGCATACACCTAACGTTAAGCAGGCACTTGACGGGAGTCGAGAAAATCCGCCACCTCCTTCGGAGAAGCGAACTTCTTGCGCGTCTGTCCGACCTTCACGCTAAAGGCCAATTTATACTTCTGCGTAGGGTGCGCGCAGTAGGTACGGCGTAGCATACGCACAGACGCGTCCCATACCGCGTACCCTTCGCCGTCGCCTGACGCGCACCTCCTCAAAAATGTAACTACACGTCGCGACGACGCGGACCGCAAGATCGGTGATTGGTCGGCTTGGTAGCATCGCATTTCCTCCTACGCATTTCCGCACGTACCTTCTCACGCATTTCCACCACTGTCTATGATTTCCACAAGTTTCATCTCCTCCGAAGTCTTCTCTCATTTCTGCCTTTCAGTTTTAGTAATTTCACTAAAGTGAACTGTTTTTCCACCTTAATAAGCTCCAATTCCAACATGATCAGCTCTCTTTCACTCGTAGTAACCTAGCCGCGAGGAATCTAAACACAGTGGAACATTAAAACTCTCCGCCGCCAACTAGCGTTTCGGAGCAGTACTGCAGAGCAACCAAGAACTGAACGCAGAAGTATAAATGCTCACAACGGCGTCGCCTACGTGCGTAGCCAACGCCGTACACTACGGCGTACCCTCGACGCAGAAGTATAAATTGGCCTTAAGTGTGGCAGGATAGAGCAACGCGTAATCCATCTGCAGCTCTCGAAGACGAATTTTAACCTCATTAAACGCTTTTCTCTTCTGTACCACAGCCGCTGAGAAATCGTTGTAGAATGAAATTCGCAAATTGCCTGCGTCAGATGTTTGCGTGCTGTTGTTGAGGGCGAAGCGTTTACTAGCAGCAGCCATCACTCTTTGCTTGTCTTGAAAATTGTGAAATCGGACGATGACAGGTCGCGGACGGCGGGTTAGAGCGGGCTTTGGAGCGAGAGAGCGGTGTGCTCTTTCCAGTTTCAATTTACCCGCCTTTGTGTCCAGGCTGAGGTGTTCAGGTATCCATTTCTCGAAGAATTTGAGTGGATTAGTTCCTTCCGTATCCTCCGGTAAGCCGATAATGCGTACATTACATCTTCTTCCACGATTCTCCAAATCGTCTACCTGCTCAGTCAGATCACATATTCTTTTCTCCAGGGCCTGAATCTTGGTTTCATTAGCAGTGCAGGATGTTTCAGTCCCCACGATTCTGTCCTCTGCTTCTTGAACTCGCTGTACGATGCTTTGAATTTTAGACGACTGACTATCTATCGCCTCGAGCACTGTGGAGATCTTAGCGTCAATCACCGCGACAATGTCGTCCGCCATACTTTTCATAGCTTGTATGAGGTTAGGATCGGTGACAGGCTTGTTAGCAGGACCGTCAGAGCTAGCTTTTGCGACCTCTACATCGGGGATTTGGTGAGCTGTAGTGACTGATAAGCTGTCCGACTCCGAGGACATGACTGCTGCGATCAGATCCTCGTTTTTTTCCCACTTCTCAGTGAAGCACCCGAAGGTTTAGTAAAGTAATTGTTCAGACTCATCTTATTAAAACAAAGCCAGCCACAGAACCAATCCTCTGATTAAATGAAAGATAAATTTTTGATAGATAACCGAGACTCGCCACGCAGCTCGCAAAAACGCGTGCTCACTCTACGGCGCCATTTTGCGTCCCCAACAAAACTATGCTTAAGTGTACTTATTTTTTACACGGGTCACCCACAGTGAAATTGCATTGGTCCACAATCCTGCTCCTCCTCTTTCCATCACTGAATTCATCACATCATGCCCAGTTAACCGACTTATCTCTAATCCTTAATTATCAAATTTAATTACAACAAAGTTAAAGAGTGAATGACACCAATCATTAAGGAGCGTGATTGCTTTCGATAACATCTGTAAGCATTGTGTAAGCTTAAGCAAAGCTTCAATCCCCAATGCAACATTACCAGCGTGTTCAGTTGAGCGAGAATGGCTCGTACCATATTCTGTCTGTGGGGGGAGGAGGAATGTTGATTGCCAGGGTTCCAGAGAGCTCTTTAACTTCCACCGCAAGCAGCAGAGGGGTGTTGGACATTTCTTCTATCTTCTTCTTTATGTACTCATTTTCTTTGGCCTTCTGGAAATACTTCGACTTGGCAATCTTGTCGACAAATTTCAAAATCCGCCTACTAGTGCGGCCTCCAGCTGCAGCCCTGCGGGAGGTAAAGTGAATTTTTCATCAGATGGCCTTGATTTATTTTAAGAAGCATTTTTGACAAATCACCCAAAAAAGAGATTCTGTTTTATAGGCATAATTCACCAAAAAAATCATGTCGCTGCAAACCCTCTTGGCTGGAAAGCAAAAGGGGACATTTAGTAAGATGTCCAAGCTGCCCTTTTCCATACATTGAAAGTGAATGGTCACCATGGTTGTCTCTAGTCCCCATCCACTTTCACTGCTTGGACAAAAAGCAGGGTTTACATTCTCTAAAATCTTAATGTTTCGCATGTTCAATTGAAGAAAGAATGGTTTGGAACAACATGAGGGTAAGAAAATTACATTTTCATGTCAGCAAGCCACTTGACTACATCTTGATGTTTAATTTACACATACATCCCATCCAAATAATGCAAATAGTTGCAACATCCCAAACTCTGAGATATCAGAGAATAACAAATTATGTTCAATGAATTATGTGAAATGTTCAGTAAATAATAATTACCCCTCAACACCAGCTAGAGGCTTTTCTGTCAGGGTTCCTTGAGTGTCAGCGGATGAAACGTCCTCCTCATCCGAGGATCCTGCACTTGAGGATTCCTCATCACTATCAGCCAGCACAGAGAGCCTGGACCTGCTACTGCATAACGTATCCAAGACAGGACCTCGTCATAACCAGATATAAACATAAACCCACAAATGACACTAGGATTATATACAGCACGCTCTCATCCCAAGGTGTCATATAGTGATGCTTTTGACAATGCGTATTCATCCAACGCACATAGCACCCTTTAGCATCAATATGAGACGCAGATATATATGGGAACTAAACCGAGAACTAAACCTACCCATAACTGAAGCGTGTTTCATTGACGCTAAAGTGTGCCATGTGCGTTGGATGTATACGCATTGTCAAAAGCGTCACTATATGACGCCCTAGGATGAGAATGTGTTGGATTTTACTGTGTCTTAATGGTTTTTGTCTTTTATGTTCACCAAGGCTGCATTTACTTGATAAAAATACAGAAAAACTGTAATATTGTGAAATATTATTACAGTTTAAATTAACCTATTTATATTTAAATATATTTTAAAATGTACTTTATTCCTGTGTTGCATATCTGAACTTTAAGCAACCATAACTCTTCAGTGTCACATGATCTTACATCAGAAATCCTTCAGAAACCAATCTGATATGCTGATTTTGTGCTCAAGAAACATGGCTTATTATCAATGCTGAAAACAGTTGTGCGGCTTAATATTTTTGTGTAAACCAAGATATATATATAATAGAAAGTTCAAAAGAACAACATTTATTTGAAATAAAAAATATTTGTTGTAATCTAACAGCGTTTACTTTGGAAGCTTGTTTCCGCCACAGAATGAAAAATAAAAAAGGTAATAGCGTCTTTTTATCTCACAATTCTGACTTTATTTCTCACAATTGCAAGTTTACATCAGAATTGCAAGATATGAAGTCAGAATTGTGTGATATAAAGTCACAATTGCATGTTATAAAGTCACAATTGCGAGATATAAAGTGACAATTGCGAGATATAAACTATAAACCAAGTTATTCTTTTTTCCCCCTTAGAATTGGCCTGATAACTTGGCCAGAGAAAAGATGTCAGAATTTCGACATATAAACTCACAATTGTGTGTTATAAAGTCAGAAGTCTTTTTTCTCAGAATTGCGACTTTATATCACGCAATTCTGACTTTATATCTCGCAATTCTGACTTTATAACACGCAATTGCGACTTTATATCATGCAATTCTGACTTTATATCTCAAAATTGCGACTTTATTTCGCACAATTCTGACTTCATATCTTGCAATTGTGAGATAAAAAGTCCCAATTATTTTTTTTATTTTTTTTTATTCAGTGGCGGAAACAATCTTCCATAGTTTACTGTCACTTTTGTTCAATTTAAGTATTCTTTTTCTGCAGGTTATATGGTAGACTGTATATATGCCATGCAGTTTTGAGATAATACATTTTTGTCTAAATTCAGAAAGGTTATTTTATTCTCCAAAAACTTACAACACATTGATTGTCTCCAACTCTGTCTCTGCCTCAAGAACTTCCTCCTTCCCAAGTTTGGAGAGGTTGATTTTGGTCTCAAGAGTCATCTGTAATGCTCCTGTGTACTCCACCTCCACATGCAACCATAGACCTGACACAAAGATATTTTTCTTTTAATAATAGCAATAAATAGATCATATTCATAAATTCAGCAATACACATCTAGTTCAGTCATGAAACTCTTTACCAAATTTGCATTATCATGTACATGCATATCCAATCAGACAGCATTCGGACCAATCGTGCCAAAATAATGCTCAAAATGGATTAAAACCTCCATATCAAAGGTTTTGACGCAGCAGCACAAGCTATTACTTGCTCAACAACTAAATAGTCTGGTTCATTCGCTGTAGCTAGTCCTGCATCATGCCATCAGAGTGCCATCTGGATCAGATTTAGAATGATTATTAAAACGTAGATGGAGTCCATCTATCAACACCCTTAATGCTGGCACAGTCTTATATCTCGTCCTCGGTTGACATTTCATTTAGTAACATTAGGCAGTTTTGATTTATATGCTATTTTGGTGTTGATGATATGATTACATGATATCGCAAGTTTCTGCATCTTCTTTCCTGTGTTTTGATATCCAGGACTCTTTCATAAGATGCAGAACCCCATAAAAGTGAAAACTCGGAAAGTCGTAAAACTCGTCTTTGGCAGGGAACTGAGGGAAGAGCTTTCTCATAAAAGAAGAGATAACTAGTCAATGGCAGGGATAGAATTAAAGAAATGTTTATTCAGGAAATGCGTGATTTCTTCTTATAAATTAAATAAAAAGTAATTAAAAGTAACAATTAACCCTCTGGTGCTCTTCGGTCATTTCTGACCGAAAAATTTTCTGTTTTGAAATTTTAAAAATCACAGCTTCATCGGAATGTTACGAAACTTGGTGACTTTTATTCCATTGGGTATGTGAACACAAAAAAAAATGAGGTCATGATCCGAGCAGCATAAGTGGTCGTAAAAAAATAGTCACACTTGTGCTCTTCAGTCAAAAATGACAGACCATAAGAAATGAATGGGAAATTGACAAAAAAAAACTTTGAGAATTTTTTTGTGTACAATCTACAAATCGGCCACGATGCAGAAAAAAAGTGCTCAGCATTGAAGGGGTGACACTGTAAAACATCAAGAGTGCAAAACAGACATACCCACCCCTACACACACACACACACACTTTTATACACAAAAACACCAATAAATTGTGATTAAAGAAATCTGTTTTGAATATTTAAAAATCACAGCTTCTTCAGAAAATTATGAAACTTTTATGGTGACTTTTATGGCATTGGGTATGTGAACACAAAAAAATTTAGGTCATGATTCAAGCAATTTAAGTGGTCGTAAAAAAATGAGTCACACTTTTGCTCTTCTGTCAAAAATGACCGATCCATAGGAATTGAATGGGAAATTGACAAAAAAAAATTCTCTGAATTTTTGTATGTACAATCGACAAATCAAAAAAAGTACACCGCAGGAAAGGGGTGACACTCTACAACATCTAGAGTGCAAAACAGACACACACACATATACAAACACACTTTTATACACATACACACCAATAAATTTTGATTACAAAAAGTATGTTTAGAATTTTTAAAAATCACAGCTTCATCGCAATGTTACGAAACTTGGTGACTTTTATGGCATTATGTATGTGAACACACAAAAAATTGAGGTCATGATCTGAGCATGCTAAGTGATCTTAAAAAAAATAGTCACACTTGTGGTCTTTGGTCAAAAATAACCCCCATAGGAAATGAATGGGAAATTGTAAAAAAAAAAAAAAAAAAAAAATTTTTTTGTGAATTTTTGTTTTTTGTCAATTTTTTTTATAAGAAATAGTTTTTGAGATTGTTTCAACTATATATTCAAATCCACCACCAACAACAACAACAAAAAATGTGTTCATAAACAGCTGGGGAATTCACGTGCCTCTCCATAGAGAGCTGTACATGCCATCTAGTGGTTACACCATGATTCTACACTTTTTCTCTATACTGTAACCAGATGGTGCTAATTTTCTTCAAATTTTTTTTTTTTTCTGAAGGCCTAGACTCTATATTAAACTAAAATTCTTCATTAATATTTTTTTGAAAAAAAAAAAAGAAAATATATGGAAGAAAAAAAAATATATATATATATATATATTTCCATGGCAAAAATAAACCATAAATATTGCATAAATATTAATAAATTCAATTAAATTGTCTCAAAATACTAAATTAAAAAGAATAAATATTATAGAAGAAAAATAAATTGCATTGGTTTTACTGGGATGGAGAAAGTTTCGTTTTTAGGTGTCCGTCCACTTTTGACCGGGAAGATAACAAGTGTGACTCTGAAACGAAGAGCACCAGAGGGTTAAAATGTTATATATATCAGCTCAGCTCAGCTCACATATTTTAATTGTAATATTGACTAATAATGTTGCAAGGTGCAAAAACTGTGTTACTAACCTATATGGTCAAGATTAAACCGATACGATGTGAAGTAAAATGCTCAAGTCTACTAGCACACATTATAAATCCATAAATGGGATGAGACCTGAGCGAGGGAGCCAGACAGTTGAAAGCCATTACATGTTACATAATGCTCACAGATCATGATGCGGCGAATAAAAGGCACACACTGTGACCTACACAATAACAGCTTCACTTCTCGTGGGGATAATACATCTCGCATATGCTTCACATTAAGCATTTCACCATCCAGCTGAGCGAGTAAACAGACACACACACGAGCTGCTATTCGCTGAGGAGCGTGACGTGATGTTACGCGCTTCTTTGATCCCTGAGATTACAGAAGGATAATAACATCTCATCTACTGCTCAGTGCAGCAACATAACACATACAGCCAAGCAGCTGTAATGGATGAATGACCTAATATGCTCTTTTATAAGAGGCTCTTAGGAGCCCCACTCACCTCTGCTGTTGACCTGTGGTAGTGAAGTACTTGTTATCTGGGGCATACTGGAGCCCATGGCCAGTTCGGTGAGGGTCAGTTCATCCATGAAGTAAGGCAACTGTGGTAAAAGAGGGTAAACTCAGAAACGCATGCACACAGGGTAGGACTATTATTAGCATAATCTATTTATTTCACTTGAGGAATAAAATAAAGAACATGACATAATTCCTATCTGCTCCCTTACCCGAATTCTGCTCAGCTTTCGCTGTATTTTCTGCTGGACTTTATCAGCCCAGTACTTTTCATGGAGGAAGTCCCAAAAGATTCGACCAATTATTGCGTTCAACCAGACCGGCTTTGTGTCGTCGTCACTGCAACAAAAGGCCTGCTCCTAAGAGGGTGATGGAAGAACATTGTAATTTTCTCCAATGTGGGGTATGCTGCCCCCTTTTTGACTTATATTGTTCTCTAAACAAAGAGAAATGAAGATATTTCAAGATATTTCATCTCAACTGAAAACAAAACACTGGTCCAGTGGCACAACTTGCTCCACTTTAGGACTACAATGTCATATTTAGAGATATGTTGAATCATTTGGAAAATACGTGAAAGATCAGATTCAGAAGTCCATCAACACCCCTAATGCTGGCACAGTCTTATATCTTGTCCTTGGTCGACATTTCATTCAGTAACAGTAGGCAGTTTTGATTTATATGCTATTTAATGTTGATGATCACGCTGTTGATGATATGAATACATGATTTTTTTTTTTTTGGTCTCACTTTAGGAGTACAATGTCATATCTAGAGATATGTTGAATCATTTGGAAAATATGTGAAAGATTTGCATTTGCATTTTTATTATTATTATCAATCCAGTTCCAAAACTGTATGAAATGTTATGATTTTTTTTATGACACTTTGAAAATGTGCCTCAAAACAACATTTTGAAATGTGATTAATATATCTTAAAATATGTATCAGAATATTTGAATGCTGCAAAACATCTTTCAGCATTTTGTATTATGTTTCCTGCATTTGGAGGGAAAAATGGGTAATCTTTAGTCAATTAATTATATTTACCCCGTTTTATATAGTAATTTACCATCATGTACTGTATAGCCAACATGTTTGAGACCTAGATAAATATGTTTATACTGTACATACCTACCATGTAGAAAATTGACTTTGACATGCCAAAAAACATTTTAACATTAAAAACGGTTTTCTAGTCAGCTGTATACTATAGCATTCAAAAGTTTGTGGTTGGTAAAAAAACACTTTTAACTGGGAAGGATGAATTAAATTACTCAAAAGTGATGGTAGAGACATTCTGTTTTATGTAAATGCTCTTCTTTGAACTTTCTGTTCATCAAAGAATTCAGAAAAAATGTTTCTTCAGGATTTCACAAAACCATTAACGGCTTTTACCATTTCACAAAGAGCAAATAGGTCGCCTTGTTGGCAGAGGCTATTTACAATAACTCCAACCATTTTCTGATTAAGCCTGACAAAATTGCAAAAGGAGACCCATTGAAAACAGGATCAGTTGCATGGTGGAGATTAAAGTAAGTTTAAATCCACCTTATTCCAAACTCATTTTTCTCAATTTTCCCATTGTATATCAGCTCGGAGAGATGATTGATATAAGAAAAAATGAAGAAGGTGTTTGAAAAGTGGAACGAGTGTGTAATAGAGGGAATAACGTATTTATCAGGTTGGTGTAGAGGAGGGCTTTAGAGACAAGGACGATTAAAGGATTATTCACCCAAAAATTTAAATGATGTCATTAATTACTCACGCACATGTCGTTCCAAATCTGTAAGACTTTCATTCATTTTCAGAAAGCAGATGAAGATCTTTGTAGTGAAATATGAGAGCTCAATCCCTCAGTTGCTAGCCTATACAGTGGTTTGACCTCGATTTTATGAAGTGCTTTGCACATAATTTGCCACATTATTTACAAAATATTAATCTCCAGCGAGACGCATGCGTGGTGTGTTGATGAGAGAACAGAAGTTGTAGCATGAACGTGCGTTAGAGATTAGTATTTTGTAAATAAAGAGGTAAATTATGTTTTTTTGCGCAAGCAAATCACTCGTGTCTCTTCATAAAATTGAGGTTAAAGGAGTCACATGTAGGGTTGGGTATCGTTTGAATTTGAACGATTCTGATTCCGATTGCGATTCCTTGTTTCGATTTTGGTTCCTTAACGATTCTCGATTCCGATTCTTTTAAGAGGCAGGGTCAAAAATTTTTAGCTAACCTTGCTAACCAACGGCCTTTCTGAAGGAAATACTCCTTCTGTAAAAATACTCCTTTTGTCACAAATTTTGCATTTTGCCGAGATTTCGTTATTTTTAAGAAAAGTGAAGCCACACTTTGGATCGCCGGCGTAAGGTACTCATGTTCGACTCGCGTGGTTATGCCAACACTTCCGGTAGACGCTTCTTCGTTGGTGTTGTTCAGCGGTTTCTTCTTCTGCTCGGCGGACTGTGAATATCGAAACTAGGAATCGAAATTTTAACTTTTGAACGATTCCGGGAAAAACGAAAAGTTAGTCTCGGTTCCAATCGATACTCGATACCCAACCCTAGTCACATGGATTTCATTAATTAAGTCTTTACCTTTCTGGGGCTTGAAAGTGGTCATGGAGGGACAGAAAGCTCTCAGATGTCATAAAAAGTTGAACGAAAGTCTTATAGGTTTGGAAAGACATGAGAGGGGCAAATTAAGACACAATTTTCATTTTTTGGGTGAGCTAAACCTTTGTACCATAACAGTCAGCGTCCATTTATGACTTTAATAAATATAACCATAAGCACTGAATATGTTGTTAGTATTGCATACTGTTTTCAAATATACTATTGAGGTGCAAATAGTATCTGCTAAGTATAAATATCATCTAAAAAGCATCTAAAAGCATCTACACAGCACAGCTCATATTAATTTTTACTGTATTTGGGTCAAATAAATGCCTTGTTGAGCATAAAAGACTTCTTTCCAAAACATAAAATGATACTGACCCCAAACTTTTGAATGGTAGCCTAATGAATCATTGGAGAATATATGAAATATTTGCATTTTTGGAGGCACATTTTCATATTGTCAGTTTCATGTTCTGTTTTTTTTTTACTTTCACTCGTCAGGTGTTCCTTTGCTCTAGTTTCATTGGACACTAACTACATTCATCCTTTAGTTAAAAGTCTCTGTGTATTTAAGTTTTTTATGTGTGGTGTTTCCATGTTGTCTCACTAACAGTTTTGAGCTATGTAAAATAAACCTTGTTATTTGTCATCTTCTTTGTCTTCCTTGCATGTCCGTAACACATATACAGTATAGATAGTAAAAGTTTAAATTTTCGGTAAAAAAAAAAAAAAAGATTTAAATCCAGTAAACAATTTAAAAACCTTTGTAATAGAATTTCCTGCACTTAAATGAAACATGTTTTTCTTTTTTTAGCTACCGTCTCTAAGCATCTGACACACTTCCCACACCCACAGGAATGAAGCTTTGTTAATAATTAATGGCTAAACTTTATACATTAACAATTCACCATCATGTAAAGCCAACATCTCATATTTTTACTCACAAATGCCACAGTCACTTTTCAAACAAGCTTTAAAAATCTTTGCAGGAGCCTGGAAAACCACTCTCATATCATCACTGCTTAATCCTGCAGAAATATAACCTGCTAAACTTTAAACATTTTCAAAAGTTCAAATATGTCTGTGCTATATATAAGATCCTACATGGCCCCACCCCCACTAAGTGAGTACATTCAATTGAAAATAACGGATATAACCAGGGCCTCCACGAGATGTGATTGTATGGTGCCTTACATGTGGACAACATGTATTGTCAATTAAGGGGCCTAAAGTGTGCCAAGAAAACATCCCCCACACCATTACACCACCACCACCAGCCTGCACAGTGATAACAAGGCATGATGGATCCATGTTCTCATTCTGTTAAACGCCAAATGCCGACTCTACCATCTGAATGTCTCAACAGGAATCGAGACTCATCAGAACAGGCAACATTTTTCCAGTCTTCAACTGTCCAAGAGATCTGGAACATCTTACTGGTTGACGTGAGAGAATGTCCGCTCAAAACACATCAAATTTGTAACCATTAATGGTATTTGTTGTATTTGATGTGTATGGGTTTGTTCACTGTTGTATTGTTTTAAGTATATAAATGTATACCATACTTTACTTTTACGAACCACATTTGTGGTTCGACTTGTCGAGACTGTTTTACAAAGATGGCTCCTGCCTGTATCTTCTTATTAAACGGACTGTACACTTACAAAGTTCTCAATGCTTCGTTTTGCATGTAGGGACCCTCATTATGTTACTGTGTTAGTATGGGGCTATTTTGAGCCTTGTTAGTGGTATAAACTAGCGATTTCTTTTTACCTATTATATGCCCCCATATACTAGTGTTATAATCTAAACAGTTTTTAGAGATAAAACTCTTGACATTCGATTATCATGAAAACAAATCCCAGAGAACGGTTGACTAGGTACCAATGTTTTATTAGACCGAAGGTTCATTTTGCATCAAATGTGCTTTGACAATACCTGCCATGTAGAAGATTTACTTTGACATGCTTTGGCAAAATCTGTATATCATGAGCCTTTTGTAAATGTCACGTGACAAAGATTATTCACGGTTTGTTCGTTTGCCGGGATGACAAAGCTTGTTCACTGACACAAAGCATTCTATGACACAAAGCATGTTTGTTTAAAGCTCACCTGCTCTTTGTCAGTAGGGCTGCCCTGGGTGCTGCTTTGGCAGGGGCTTTGGACAGGACTGGCGTGTGCTGAGAAGACCAGACTGGTCATGTAAGAACTATAGTCTGGTAGAATGTTCTCCTTCGCTCTGCCAACCAGATCTTCACTGCTGTCCTTGACTGAGCCTTCACCACCATGTGACAGCCCAAAAGTGTTCTCCTCACTCAATACAGATTTATCTAAAGACCAAAAGAAATTATTAGAATAGTGTTTACTCTTTGTTTAATTCTCATACATTTTAAAGAGGTCATGAACTGGATTATTTTTATTATTTTATAATGTTACCAGGAGTGCCCTTATAATGTTAGTATTATTGTTACATAAAACATTATCATCATTTAGAAGTAAAAGACATTTTTCCTAGCCTGATTTTAGCCTCTGATTTGAACTCAGTTTGAAGGGGCGTGTCTGTTATGTGACATCACTGTAAATGCCCACTGCTGTGATTGGCTGACATCTTTGCATACGAAATAGCTTGTATTACATGTGGAACTCTCTGTCAAAATCTTTTACTACATTTTTACTATTGCATTATAGATTATAATAAAAGATTAGAGCATTAAATTTAGATCTATTCCCAGCACATGAAAGGTCGCAGTGACACATTGATCGCATGAATGAAGTGTTCTCATCATTGCAACATTTCTGCACTCTCACGAATACTTTCGTTGTGCAGTGTCCAGATAAATTTGCACTGTGTGATTGACATCTTGGGTGATTGGAAAGGAAGTGTTCTTTGATCGCTTTCTGTATATAATTAATCACAATTTACATCAGATCATTTTCATCCTACTAAGAGAAACGATGCAAAGCTGATTGTTTAGTCACTAGCTTGATTTGCTGATTCACAAACAGTATTGAACGATTTTGAGAGAAAGAAAATCTGTCTGAACTTGAATAATTACACATCAGAAATCATCACTAATCACAGATCAGGCATTAGAAATTGAATAAATATAGTTACTTATGTTCGTGCCATTGCCGGAAGATCCCTATCTGTAATAGTCTGTTTTCAAAGCCTGCGTCGAAAGTTTTTAGTTTTGAAACTTGATATTTTTATAGTATTTTAAAATTTAAAAAAAAATTCTCAGTTCATGACCCCTTTAACTAATCGAATATTGTTGTACCACATCTAGCCATATTTGAACCATATTTATACTGAATGAATGAATTTAACTGAAAGGATTTATGTTGATTCTAAGCAATTTTTAAAATAAAATAAAATAAATGCAAATAGTTAATAAAAATAATAATAAATAAATTGTTAAAGTGATATTCTTTTTTTCTTTTCTTTTTTTCTTTTTTTTTAGTGCAGAAATCTTGCCTCTTTCTTGCTTGTTTCATGTATATATGACTGACAATACTGTATGCATTACATTAAAGGCATAGTTCGCCTGAAATTGAAATTTCGGTCATTACTTACTAACCCTCATGTCGTTCTCAACCCGTAAGACCTTTGTTCATCTTTAGAACACCAATGAAGATATTTGTTATGAAATCCGAGAGATTTCTGGCCCTGTTATACACAGCAACGTTAAAATAGTCCATGTGACTACTGTTGTTCAACCTTATTGTTATGAAGCGACGAGAATACTGTTTGTGCGCAAAAAAAATAAAAAATTACGACTTCAACAATTTGGCTGTTCAAGTGAGTACCATGCTAATGCTGAGGCAGGATCCAGCTAATACTGAGCCAGTGTGAAACGCTGCACTGTTTACAACATGAACAACGTCTTAGACTGACACGGAAATTAAAAGGGGTGGTAAAATGCCATTTTCACAAGATGTAAAATAAATCTCTGATGTGCCCAGAGTGTGTGTGTTTTAGCACAGTTTTAGCACAAAATACCCCACAGATATTTTTATATAGCATGTTGAAGTTGAAGTCACTTTTTGAGGGTTTGCAAAAACGCACAGTATTGTGACTGGCCCTTTAAATGCAAATGAGCTGCTGCAGAGGGCGGGGTTTCAAGAGCTCCTGTGTGTTAGCAGCTGCGATTTCCTCAGGCAGACACACTAAAATAACAGAAACTGTTCTTCCTTTAATGTTAAAACGGAGTCAGTCAAAGATGGAGAGACTCAAGAAGAAGTGACAACATGCTAGAATACAACAGGACATCTCTGAATGGTTAGTTGATGAATTTATGTTGCTTTAATTATGTTGCACTAACCCGGAAGGAATGTCGTGTAGTTCCTACCAGCCTGTTTGTTGTAGAAATTTTCTTTAAAAGCAAATATCTTCCTTTGCTTTGAACTAACTAAAGGTAGAGAAGTGAAATCATACTTTACCACCCCTTTAGGAAATTGTTGAATAAAGTCCTTTTTTTGCAAACAAAAAGTATTCTGGTCGCTATATAAAATTAAGGTTGAACCACTGCAGTCACATGAATGCTCTCAGATTTCGTCAAAAATTAGACCGAAGATGTTCCGAAGATGAACGAAGGTCTTACGGGTTTGGAGCAACATGAGGGTAAGTTATTAATGACAGAAATTTCATTTTTGTGTGAACTAACCCTTTTATATATATAATCTTATACGTATTTAGGCCTAAAATGTTTTGGAGTGGGCATTTAATAGTCATTCTTTGTTTTTGACAACCACAAAGTTAAGTTGTTCAAGTTCAATTATCAACAAAAATAAAATAGATAAAAACAAAATGATCAATAAATTAATTTAAAAGCCAGATCAAATACGTTGCATAAATAAAATATGATACACATATGAAAAAAACATTTTTTGACATATTTTGTCAAATTACGTTTTGTTTCTTGTTTTCATGTTGTATGTTTACTTCATCATAAATTATTTGAACTTTACCACCAAATATAGATTCAAAATGGTCTTCTTCATTGTGAATGGACGCAGAAAACAGTCGATGGAACCATTCCTCTTTCTCCCGTCCCGTTCGTCCAAAGAGGTAAAGTGTGACAGGAATGGAAACATTAGTCATAGATCCAGGGTGTTTCTCTACTTTCTGAACCTCGCCCGGACCCTCTACTGTCTCGTCTTCTTCCACAGCTCCTTCTTCTTCAGCCAAACGTATGCAGATAGGATACTTCCTGTTCCACACTCTCTTGTGTGCCAAAGCCAGTGGCAGAAGAAATACCTGTTACCAAGGCAACAACTTCATTATGATTATGTGACATCTATGCAACATTCTACCACATTATAATTCAAGCTATTTGGATTTAGAGACCATAAGGAAAACTGTGTCGCAGTGAAGGGCAATGCACCTCTTTCAATTAAGGGGCTAAAATCAGTGGGACACAAACCTTGCTGCCAGTGAGTCGAAATATCCGTGAGTGGGTGAATTGCTTTTCGTAGCAGGGCTCATCAAAGGCAGCCCAGCGGGGAATGTTGTTACGTGGGTAGTCAAGCCGCAAACAGGGTCCATCCAATGTGACATACACAGAGTGCATAAGAGAGGGCTGATAAGTCTCTGGATCATATATGTAAATCTCGTTCATCCAGCCCTGAAACACAGAAAGACTTTGCTTAAACTCTACTGTAATCTCTGCATCCTTGCTACAAAGTTTTAGCACAAAGACTGACAAATTTAAGAAGTAGGGCATCAGGAGAAGAGCTGTGACGAGCAGTGGGTGTATTTTATTCTGCATCAGACACTGAAGAGCAGAGTTTATAACACAGCAGATTGGTAATAAGGGCTGTTCTTAGTTTTTGGATAGACTTTAGACACTGAAATTCACTGCACTGTGTTAAAAAAAACTGATCCGAAGGACATGAGCTTTGACACATTTGGTTTAATAGCAGTCTGCAAGTTCTGTTGCTTTTCTTAGCATTTAACCCTATAATGAAAAGCCCAACATGTCTTCTGCCCCTTCATGGATTATCAGTGCTCTTCAGGAAGTAGAAAGTCTTGTAACCATAGATATCCATAATAAAGGCTAGATGTCTCATCCGCGCTGCTGGCCAATAGCTTGTTTTCACGTGACATCACACCACTGCGTTGCCATGGCGCGAAACGCAGATGGAGGGCAGGAAGTGATTTTCTACATTAGGAAGCACTATAACACACTCAAAATGCCTATATTTTGCGTCGTTTATGGTCGCTCAAATCGGTCAAACCACGAGGAGTTTTTATCGTGTACCAAAAGTTGTTGTTCATAAGGGGGGAAAATACAAGAAATTTACAGAAAAACACCGGGAAAAATGCCTTGCAAACCTACGTCTGCGGTCGGGAGGAGCCGAATGGGAAAATGCCTGTGTGTGTGTGTGCAGTGATCACTTTGTCAAATGTGAGTTAATACATTATTTATGTGGCTTATAATTACATTATTTATATAATTACATTATTACATTAAATAATTTCATTATTTACATTATATATATATTCAAGTGTTTAAATACACTTATGTGGCTGTTCGTGTAACGTACCAGTTTCCGAACTTTGTAAAGTCAAAGTATGTCTGTAAGACGTGTTAGTTGCTGATATCTACAGCCTCGATGGCAGGCAAATCTCTCAATTCAGTTGAAAATCGGTCCTCTTCATAACGTAAGGATCACGTCCAACATGTTTCGATTTTCTGTTTATATATTTCTCTTGTAATAGCGTCTAAAGTAGTACAGTACGGATTTTCCTCCATCTCGTCCATTGCGCTCTTCACTCCTTGCCCTCCATCTGCATTCCGCGCGTCAACACAATCACGTGACTGCAAACCACCTATAGAGGTCGACGTCCACACCTGGGGCCATCTTGTCACAGGCAGCTCGCTCACTCGTAACATTGTGTTTCAATGGTGCATTTACTATTTAAATAACCATAACTTGCTCAATTTTCTACCGATTTTCAAACGGTTTGGTTTGTTATAAACATCAGAGATGTAGTTATGACACTGCATTATGAATAATACGTGTATAAATAAATAATAATCCAGAATTATAGCCATGTTTACTACGTTTGTAAGAAACCAAACCGTTTGTAAATCCGTCAAGATTTCAATGAGATAAGAGTATTTCTGTTCGTGCTTATCACTCATCTTAGATCAGGAACCACAGAGCCCGGCAGAAAGCTTGCCTGTGACAAGATGGCCGCCGGTGATGATAATAGAGACTTCTCCGTAAGACATCTAGCCTTTATTGTGGATATCTATGCTTGAAACAATTTACAAAATGTCTGCCTCTGTGTCCTGATGCATTTGTTTTTGCTGGGAAATTTGATAAAGTCACAGTAAGAACAACTTTTAAATTGTTATTGATATTTCAAAATAAAAATTTAATAAGTGGATATTCAGGGTATGCAACTTTTGCTAACTTGATTTTTCATACTTTATATACAGAAACATTGTGTTGAAAATGGGCCTATCACATATGGTTAATAAATATGGGTATTATTCATTAGTTAAAAATGTCTTTAATTGAAAATATCTTTACTAAGATAAATGTATAATGGAAAATGATATTTAAATATATCAAAGTGACACTAAAGAGAGAAGTAAAAAACACTGACCACAGAAGAAAAGGAAATAGACCCTTAAAAAGTCCTATATTGTGAATATTAGTGTTTTTTTACTGTATTTTTGATCACATAATGCGCCCTCGGTGAGCATTTAGGCATATATAAGTGCATATTGTATATATTACAGGGTTTTTTTTTTTTTTTTACATATTGTCCAAAAATAGAATGTTTTGCTATTCTGGGTTACATTACAAGTGCATGCATTATATTCATGTATGCAAGTTTCCATTGCATGTACATAGTTTAACACCAATTCTTTTTAACAAATGTATTCACAATGAAAATGCAACTCACCTTGAGGGAAGGTACATTGCTCTGCAGGGTTTCAAAGAGAATGTTATTATAGGGGGTCCCATGTGGGTGACTGGTGGACACATCTCTGACGGAGCCCCAATGGATGAGCACAAGCCCCAAAATTAATCCAAACACTAAACCAAGGAACAGGCCAGACCAATACGCTGACAAAGGAATGATAAAATAGCAGTATGACACAAATGCAATATATCCAAGAGCCACTCCTGGCACTGGAGAGGAGCATTGCTTTGTCAAATCTTGATCAGCTTTGTTAATACTGGTCTCCACCACCTGTCCAATGTCTATCTGTTTGCTACAGTGGTCATGGGAGAGGGAGGACTTCTGCATACACCGTTTACGATGTCTCACAGGCCAGTTGCACTCCGGTAGAACCTCACTTTCTACTTTCCTAGCACGTTTCGGAGATTCGGAAACAGTCAAATCAGTGTTCGATTTCCCGATTCCGACGTTTTTGTAGCTTGGAGAGTCCATCGATCCAGTGCTCCTTTGGTGCTTGGGGCTGCCAGCACTGTCCTCACGCATGATCTTACTGAACATGCTCAGAGGTTCCTGCATGGCCTCTGAGAGCTTGCGTCGGGTGTCCTCCAGCTCCATTTTAAAGAAGCTTGCTTTGGGCTCAGTGGGGGACAGGTTGACCGGAGATGGAGGGGCGGTGCGGGAGTCACCATTGCGGCTTTTGGGCTGGGTGAATTGCGTCCACAAGTGTAGATTGAGCTTGGAATCAGACCTGGATTGAGACACTTCGGGCTCACTGCGAGAAAGCTCGGTGGAAATTGACTTTACAAGGCTGAGGAATGGTTTGGGCTTTAAAGAAGACTCTTTCAGTTCCAGTTCTGTAGATAATGACTTCACTAAGCTGGCCAAGGGGCGGTGGGAAGGCGAGAGGAAGCCAGACCCCGGAAGAAAAGAGTCTCCCAGGGAGCCTGATGAAGGTGGAGAGAGAGGAACGTTGAATGCGGATGAGCTGGGACCCCAATCCCCTTCTGTCTGAATGTCGACCGAACATGGTCTTCGGTTATGGAGGGAGCTGAGTGACTTTTTGCCATCACAGTCCAAGGTGAAAATGAGGTCATTGTCATCAAGATTGTCCCATTCACCCTCAGTGTCCGTCAGCTGGATCACTATTCCCATCCGGTCCGTGTCATGCTGTGGCGGTAGACCCGGCCTCTGGATCTCACTGGAAAATTTGTGGGTTCCTTCATTCCCTGTCATCCTTGCCATGATTTATTTCTACACAGCAAAAGTAAAACATATTTGAGTCAGCAAAAACAAGACAATGAAACCATTTTATCCTCTAGATATCTGGGCAACACCGTTATTTTGCAGCCCTCAGCAGTTTGTAAAGCATTACAAAGCATTATAACCATGAGAAAGATTGCTCATTTTGGACAAAACATTGAATGGATCAGTTTTGTTACACAAAGAAGTAACTTCTACAACTCTTTTCCCTCTACAGCAGTGGTTCTCAACTAGGGATGACTTCAAATGATTTAAATGAATTATGTTGAAATATAAATTTACTCAAGAATGTACAGTTCAGTTCTTCACAAAACAAATTTTCTTCACCACTCACACACCAGTTTCTGTTAATTCACAAGTTCACACTTAAATAATCAGATTGAGTAAAACTTAAGATGAATCCATATTTGGCGTTCTGTCCAAGGAGAGGGCTCTGAGCTTGGTATTTTGGCCCGATCCCAGAGTTCTTTCTTTCAAATGTTCTTCACGAAGAAAGAAATGGTTATTTTAAGAACTGTTCACTAAAAAATGTTCTTTGGGTAACACAAAATGGTTCTTCATTATGGAATAACTTTAATCTACTGAATATGAAGAAGGGATCATTCGAGTTAAAAAGCTGAGAACCACTGCTCTACAGATGACCATCTTTGAATATATTTTCTATACTAGAGTTTATAAATCGTATATAATGCATTTGCAGTAGTCAACATTTGAAGTGGATCAAAAAATTTAATCAAAGCTGACCTAAGACAAGAACGGGTATTGTTCAAAATTCATGTATAACTTTCAAAAAGGTTTTGATCCACTTCAAATGTTACGTTTTGGGCGATACTTCGAAATTCTAAACACTTTTTTTAAAACTCAGAAAGCACTGACACTATGTTCTTATATAAAGATTTAAGAAAGTTCATGCACTTTGTGCCTGATCTTATCCTATGTGTATCCTATGTTTATTTATGCGTAGAATGAAAAGCAATGGAGCAAGACAGATTATGCTGAATATTTGCATTTACTCTGTTAATGTTATATTTCAGCATGTGTTTTGGTCCCTAAAGTGCTGAAAATACACCAAGATTATTGTTTTCTTTCTGTCCTTAATAAATAAAGAAAGAAACAAGCAAAAAAAACATGAACATAAACAAAGAAACAAGCAAATGGACACTTTTCCAAGCAAATGGAAAAGTATCTTTTTTATAGGCTACAGTAGGCCTATTTAAAAAAGGTTATGTAATACTTAAATTCAGAATACACAAACAAAACCATTCATTTGTAACAGAACCCATATTCATTTTGTTTTGCCCAGAAATTGCAATCATTGCATTGAATTGTAAATTGTAAACTCTAGCATCCTAAAATACTATTAAGTCCATCAAGGAAACCAGAATGAGAGACTAAGCTATATATCTCTTAGTCAGGAGAAAACGGGACTTTAGTTCAGTCAACTGACTCAATTAAAAGCAAAGATCTCCCACTATCTTTCTAGGTCAAGTAAGGCATTTAAAAGTAAGTTAAGACAGCCTTCTGTGGTTATGTAACCCATGTGACACCAATTCTACAGCAACTGGCAAACTCTCTTTAATCCCTCCATTCAAAACGGACAGATGAAATAATAAACCAACAGACTGTCCAAGGGCACATCTACACTATGAGGAATGATGTCAGGACTCATGTCTCATAATATACTGAACAATCAACAATGCTTTATAGGATATAAGTGTATAAACAGTCTGCCCATACCATCAGTTGGTGTGGTAGAATGAAATATGAGTGGCTTTCTTTCAAGCAGACCATGAAATGGTTACAAATTCTGCAAAATAATATCTCTAAAATTACAGCTATGACTTGAAACAGGGTACAAACATGATGATGTACAGTACAATGAAACATTCACTCCCAAAATGTTATTGATTCCTAATTTAAATCTCAGACTTGGATGCACATGGCCTTTAATAATCTCCTTTGAACTGCACTGGCACTAACAGGCATGTTGATGGACAACCTACTGGAAGACAACCATAGAAAGTTCTAGACTAAATGTTGGAAATAAACAAACATAACTTTTGTAGAATGTGTTATTGATAAATAGAACAATTGCATGCAAATTATAAAACATCACATAAATCCTTAAAATTCCTTCAAATCTGTCTGACACGTAAAACAATTTTTTTTACATGTAGCCTATTAAATTCATTAATAATTCTCAGAGACATGCCAAACAAACACTGAGAAATACGATAAACTTGAATTAATTGCAATGAACAGCAACACAGCATGAGATTCGTCACAGCATGAGCAGATGCTATTGTTTTGCAGGATTCATGCAGTAAAATGATAGGAGATTCTCTTATAAACTAGATTAAAGCAATTTCAAGACATTTAAGACGCACTGGCAAATTACATCATTTAAAAATAATGAACTCACCCAATTTCTGCACCATAGCCTGATCTCCAAAAAAGATATCAGCTTTTGTGTCCCGTCAGTTACACAGAGTCGCAGTTCCGAAAATCATTTCCAGAGAGGAGACAGATTACACTTTCGTTAAACGTCTTGCATGCTGACTCTGCTCACAGTTTACCATCAGACTTTATGATAAACCAGAGTTACAGACCGATGTGCGTTTATGTCGTTCGTTAGGGCTGTGCAAATGAGCATGTGTCGGTCGGTAAATCTGGACTGTGCCGCGCGTGCACACGGAGTTTTGAATTATTATAACACTTATGCAGTTGCCTATTGATCGCTGGTATATTAGGCTTGTGAAGCTGTGTATCCCCATAGAAACTAACTCCTCCCCCTCACAGTCTCCATCCAGATGTGATTTTGCGAACAGCAGCTCTTCAATCTGATTATAGGAAGCATGGCAGGAGTCCACTTTAATCCCGATTTAAAAAAAAAAAAAAAAATTCCAGCATCAACACGCTCAGAAAGACACAACAGGACATGTCAATGACCCATAAGCACTCCACATTTGTCCTGAATCTGTGACAGTACAGTAGTGACCACGTTTACAAGCACAGGACTTTCAGATTAAGATTCATTTAGGCTATTCTGGTTATGTTTATTGGAATATGTAATGCAGTATGCATAAAATACAAACAGTGGTAAACTTTTCTCCGGACATAGAACTAAAAATGCTCACTCTTAAAATATATTTTATGGTTATTTATTAATTTTGTATAATTTAATTGAAAAAAAAAATGAAAACATTTAAACTCGAACATTTAAAGGTTTAAGTGGAATAGATATGCTCCTGCAGATTAAGTATGGAGACTTGCTGCCAATACATTCACAGACATGCCGCTGCTGCATATATAACAAGAAATAACCCTCAATAAACGAGTAGGACGCATCAGGAACAACAGGGGCTTAAAACTGTCAGGGGCGTAAAACTGCCGGCTCCAGGTCTGCAGCCTCCCCATATAGCAATAAACTGCTCTTGGATCTATCCTTGTGTGGTATCGTGACAGTGATTTGAGACACACACAAAAAAAGCGATTTGGAAAATGGATTCGTGATGTAGGCTACTTGCTCATTATATATTTTTTGCTAATTTTGAACACAAAAAAGTTAGACTGCAGCTTTAACTTACAGTGGAATGTTTCCATCGACATCTCACGATTTCGGGGCACATGAGTTCCCGAACATATAATGCATGATGGTATACGCTCCAAAGCGGTATTATTCAAGATATGTGGGTTTAGTGTGCATTAAGGGCACTGCACTTTGGCATTTTTAAGACAAAGGACAGTCTTCCAGTTGCGTGGTTGACGCGCTCTTAAGTGGCCAAGACCACAAGTGTGGGTTTTTGGACAGGGCATCTGAAAGTGCGCCACAGACTGCTAACAACAAACAATACCATATATTTGAATGTGCAGATGCCACTGCAAACAATCAGCAGCGCGATGTGGATAACGATGTAATCGCTAACAAATTGAGTTAAAGGGGTCCTTGATTATGATTTCACTTTTATAACTTTAGTTAGTGTGTAACGTTGCTGTTTAAGTATTTATAAACAACATCTGGAAAGTTATGACACTCAAAGTTCAATGCATATTTCCTTTTACAGAAATCTATTTTCAAGGACTACAAATGGCTTGTAGCGACTACAACGAGCTTCTTCCAGGGTTGGTGACATCACAAACCCTAAGTTCAGTAGCCCCGCCCACTGATTCAAGAACGACAAGTAGTAGGTAAATAAAAGACACTGGATCTAGTAACGAAGCGATAAACATGCCTTTGAAGAGTGCAAAATATTGTGCAGCCAGGTTGTGGAAATACACAGTAGCTGTATTTGTTTTGCAGAGAGCCTGACATTACAATGTGCTGTGCTTTTTATATTGATTCTGAAAGGAATGGCGCAACACACTAGTTTGTGAGTAAAAAAGTTTTTACTGTGTCATTAGTGCTTTGTTACAGATCATTTAATATGTACGGATTACGTCACCAAAATCACCAGAGCAGTGACAAAGTGATTTAGGCCTAATGATTCATGTAGGACACAGTCAGATGCTTTTGTCTCAAAATCATTTATTGTCATGTCAGTAAATCAAAGTGACTAAAACGGTCAACTTGATGCTATAATGATGATGCTATAATCAACAGTTTTTACGATTAGTAAACCTTGAGAATTGTAACTGTAAAAATTAACTAATTACTAAACGAGAGAATTCCACATGTAATGCTAGCTATAGAGTGCCGAAGTTATGACGTCACTTTGTTGGACAACTCGGAAGTTATGGATTTTCCCAATAGACTTTTGGAAAGTTGCAAAAAAATAAGATCTGTGTTCAACAAAGAGTTGTGAAACTTACACGTTTGTCTATCAAGATAATCTTTAAAAGTTAATCCAAAATGTATACATTTTGAAGCCTATAAAAAGTTTAAAAAACCACAAGCAGACACAATAAAGTTTAAAGTCGGCATGAAATCAAATTTGACAAATCTTCTTTTTATATGTAATATTGTAGTGTTTATTATAAATGATTTATCCGTGCACTTCATTATTTTTTAAAAATTCAGGTACCCTTGAAATCTTTAATCAAATACATTACCCTTCCCTCCCCCTTCAAAACGACCTCTCTCTTTGGTCACGTGGAAATGGCAAAAGGGTGCGGCCAGATCCGATGAAGGTGCGGCTATCGGTGCACCACCGATTTTTATATAGTGAATTTTATATATGAAGAGTTCAGATGCAAAAGCCTCTAAATGCCATTTGAAATTTTCTTCTTTAATGATAATTTTTATCAAGCTTGTATATTTAAGTTCAGTGATTTCACTTAAATGGCAATGATAATTACCTATTAATTGTTATTTAAGTGAAATTACTGAACTTAAATATACAAGTTTGATAAAAATCATCATTAAAGAAGAAAATTTCAAATGGCATTTAGAGGCTTTTGCATCTGAACTCTTCATATAGACGGCTGCATTTATGAAAAAGAAACACCTAAGCCTAAAAAAATTCCAACGCATTCTCATCCCAAAGTGTCATATACAACGCTTTTGCAAAAGCGTAAATATCCAACGCACATGGCACCCTTTAACGTCTAATGAGACGCTTCGGTTATGGTTAAGTTTAGGTATGGTGTAGGGTAAGGGTTAGACCACTAGGGGGCGCCTTCTGCCCAAATATATCTGCGTCTCATTTGACGTTAAAGGGTGCCATGTGCGTTGGATATTTACGCTTTTGCAAAAGCGTCCTATATGGCGCTTTGGGATGAGAACGGGCTCAAATATCCTACCTCCTTCATTATTTGACTTAGCAAAGTAATATTGGTGTCTAACCCCATTTTTTCTGGGTCTATGAATCCGTTGGACTTGTCTAAATTGCACTGACATGATTACAAACTTATGGAATATATGATTTTGTGAGATTACTGTAAGGATTTATCTTTGTTTGGGGTGAACCAGAGATGTAAACCATTTAGCCTGTCATGTTATTCCTACTCAGTATGTGTTTTTGGACACATACCCTTTTTTTGCTAAAACACAGACTTTGCATTTAATGTAAAAATTATTGCATCCAAAAGTAACTTAAATTGGATTTGTATAACTCTGATCATAAAAAAAATCTGAATTAGCCCGATAGAGGCCTGTGTGTGAGCCCCCTAAAAAGGTCACTCATTTCAATTTCAATAAGGTAATACATATGTAATGCATACTCTATAGATGTTTTTGAGTATACAGGAGCTATTATACTAAACCCAACAAAATTAAATGCACAATTTTCAGCAATTGACATTGTTGAATTAGCTTGAGGAAAAAGTACACTCCAAATGCAATTTTGACCATGAGTCAAGTTGTTATAAACCAAGAAATGTGCCCCATTTGCTGTAAAAACTTAAGAGATGGCCCTGATGTGGTTGAGGTTCATCAGAAGGTAGCTGATGGAATCAACAATGCAAGTGTACAAAGAGCCGACGATGATGTTCCGCTGGTGAAATAGTACACTCAAAATGTCGACGGTGTCGAGAGTAGTACATAAATAAAAAAGACATTAAAATCCAACAAGAGAATAAAGCTGAGCCACCAAAAGGAAGTGGTCCTTTCAACAGCCAAACCGATTGTCTTTTCTGTTGAACTAACACATGGAAGTAAAGACACAAGTAGTGTTCAGACTGATAGGCTCGCAGAGTCCATTCTTGAATGTTGTGACAATCATGCAGATCAATGGGCTTACTAGAAAAAGAAAAAAAGAAGAAAAAAAGGAAAAAGGAAAAAAAGGAAAAAAAGAAGAAAAAAAGACAAAAGAAAAAAAAAGGAAGGAAAAAGGGAAAAAAAAGGAAAAAAGAAGGAAAAAAAAAACAAAAAGGAAAAAGGGAAAAAAGAAGGAAAAAAGGAAAAAGAAAAAAAAGAAAAAAAGAAGAAAAAAGGAAAAATATAGGCATATAGATAGATTGATAGTCCAAGTGAAGGAGGTAAGCATATGTAACCCTCTTCGTCTGTGTGCTCCCCTAGATGTCTCTGCGTTGTGTTTAAATGGTGTTGAATGAGGAGGACACAAATATCGTGGTCATCACGGTAGCAACTTTATTTTGGGCTCTCTTATTCTGCATCAGCCAGTACGCAGCACACCGCAACATCTTTCCACAAGGAAAATAGAACTGTTAGTAAACAATATTAAAAAATAAAAATGCATACAAAACTATAAAATAAAACAGCACAGCCTTAGCTGCAATTATATTAGCAATCAAATCACGGGGATTCTCAAAGATTGGGAAAAAATAACTTTCCCCATATGACAATTAAATGTCAAATGTCACATACATCCAAAATACAAAGAACAAAACCCAAAATACTCAGACAGATGATAATAACCATACAATACACAGAAAAATATACCCCACCACATGGAATTTACAACTCTTTAAATAATATCAGAAATATAAAACCATCCATCACAAATAACTGCACATATATGTTAGTTGACATCTTTAACAGTTATATATTTTCTAAAATAACATGGATGGCCAATATAATTCAAGAAATTAAATAGATGTGGCAGAGAACACCAAAAAACCCTCCTTACCTTTCCACAAGGAAAATAGAACTGAATTAAAAACAGCTCCACCCATGTGAAGAAGGCCTAACTCACACAGTGAAACACTCATAGAACACAGCTCCCCCCTAAGGCTGGGAGAAACATTTTACATCATTCCTACATCCACCCCCTCTTTAAATGATGCCGTCCCAGTCATCACTAAAAATAAAAACAAAATTAAATCATTTTAAATCTTAAGATTAACTTTGATGCGTCTGGGTGGAGTGTGTATGTGTGTTT